GAGTGACTCATTTTCTTACATAAGTACATTTGAAGCAAATGTACCTTTGCTTCAAAGTTCAGCAACTAGCATTTTGAGGTCCAAAAGGTCACATATTTTCCTATAAATGTTGCACAATTTTGAGTCATGGGCCTCTTGTACTCAAATTTTAATGTTTTGGTTAAGGCATGGTTTTTGGATTCCAGATAATCTAGCGCTTAAGGAAACACAGTCTTATTACCAATTCAAATCTTCCCAAGTGAAAACCTCCTTAATTCTAAGTTCCAGTAAAATCCTGTCCAGTTCCCTGAAGTACAATGCAGTTTAAAACCCCCTCAGCACTAGGATATTTTTGAGTCAAGCCTCCCTTGGTGGAAGAATTAGGCCTATCTTGTATAAAATTGTGATCCCATTCCAAACATGTGCTGTTCTCTTTATGCTCTCCACAAAGGATTAGCAGGTATGATACAAACAACATACTACTATATCATACTATACATACTATATATCAATGATGAAAAACTATAATCATTTGGACAGAAAAAAAACTATTGGTTAACCAACCTCATGAATGAAGCAAAATCATTCAAGTATTTGGAAGTCTTTTCAAGCTGAACTTGTAGCGAGGTTCAACTGTATATGCCTTTTGCTATTTTTTAAAGTTCCAGGTCCAGCAGAATTGGCAGTGGCTGAACTGGTTGGAGATCAGTGCAAAGTTGACGAAGAAGCACTCATGTGCAGTGGAATGACGGCCAATACACCATTTTGCAAGGTGAGTTGTCAAATGTCAGAATTTTTGAACCACTGGTTATACCCAGAGGATACATTAAAAATTATACTCATTGGTTTGTTCAAAAGAGTGAAACTGAAAAATAAAAAATTAGCTCATGGAGAGTTTCTGATGCATCAAAATTAGGCAAAGAAGCAATAATGTGTGAATTTTTTTTTAAGTTTGTGCTTTACTTCAAGGATTTTAAGAACCTCCTCTGAGATTTAATATTTCATAAATACAAATATCAATCTTTAGGGGATTTTTTAAACAAGAGTCTTAGCAATGTCTCATATACTGACTAATATGTTCTGCCAATTTGATCAACATTCAAGCTTTTTCTTTTTGAGAACTCTTGAAAACTTTTACAAGTACGGGTGGTGGACTGCAAGTTGACCCTAATCTGTTGCTGGACTAGGGTCAAATTATGAAGTGGGGTTGAATTGCAAAACAAGGTCAAATGTAATGTTTTCTACATTGTATTTTGTGTTTTTTTCCATCTCTGTGGGTCAAATTATGGGGTCTAGGTCAAATTGCAAGTCTACCTTCCAGCAAATTTGACCATATTGCATTGTAGGAAGTCAAATTGCAAGGTACCACCTGCATAATTTGAATTTCTGTAGGCATAATTTATGGACAAATGAGTCCTTGCTATGGACCAGACACATAGTTATAGTAAGGCCATATTTACTCAAGTATTACACCCACCTTCTTTTTCTCAAAATTTAGAGGAAAAATGCCTCATAGGTGGGTGTGAATTTGTCAAAGAATTTTGTAAGTATAGGCATGCATTGTACTTGATTGGACCAATTTCAATTAGAGAACTTATAACATACTGGAGGAATTAAAAATTAGTGGAGTTCAGGTGCGAGTGCGACTCATGTCAAAATTCAAATGTATAGGCTCACCTATTTTGAAAATATTGCGGGTTTAGGGTCCCTGGAAATGGGGTGCGTGTTCTACTCTGTGTCCGGACAGCCGCTGGTTGGTCAATTCATGGTTTCGCACCCACCAGCCATCAAACGCCGGTCAGTCCAACCGCCTGCCAGGGCAGTCCTTGGTCTTGCCAATCCCCAGCCCACTGAATGGTGGTCCGGTCACCCAATTGTTGGGGCACCCAAACAATTGGGTGACAATAATCATGCTGATTCTCTCCAGAATTTGATGAGCAGAATGGTATCCTACCACAGGATATTTTTTTTGCAAAATTTCAGCAATGTTAGGTTAGTTTAGGTCAGTTTATATTATGTTAGTTTAGGTTACGTTAGGTTTGGTTGGGTTTGATGAGTTTTTTCTTTTGGCAAAAATCTTTATAAGATGCAATTTTGAAAAAAAATAATAATCTGTGGTAGGATACCATTCTGCTAACAAAATTCTGGAAAAAATAAGCATGATTCTTGTCACCAGATTGTTTGGGTCACCCAACAATTGGGTGACCGGACCGAGGTTTGGTGGGCTGTGGATTGGCAAGGCCAAGGACTGCCCTGGCTGGCGGTTGGACCGACCAGCGCTTGATGGCTGGCGGGTGCGCAACTGTGAATTGACCAACAGGCGGTTGACCCAGTACCATTTTACTCAGATACAATTTTATAAAAAATTTAGATTGAAACCCCCTGATGTGCGTCTTCTACTTGAGAGTGCTTGTAATTTGAGGGAATAGGGTTACTGAGATTGCAGGAAGTTTTAAAAATGTCTAGAATGTGGTATAGTCTCAATTCAAGAAAATCGGGGTTAAAATATTTTTTGTGAGAAAATGCCTATGGTATAGTTTTATGCTGTAAATCATACTGATTTATCCGTTTTTCAGGCCCAGGGTGTTGGTGGAATGCCTATCATGATCCAAATAGACGAGAAACTCATCATCGTGGGCATTGAGACCTACGGAGATTGCCAGGACGGAATCGTGCACGGAATATACCTTCCGGCACACGAAGAATTTTTGCTGCAGAACATGTGACGAAATCGTCTGGAAAGAAAAGGAGCCAAATAGGAAGAACACAGTTTTTTCCTGCTTTCTGTACTTGTCTGACATGGATAGAAACGGCGTTATTTGCGGACCTCATCTCCAAGAAAATTGACGATTTAATTTTACAGCTGCTCGCAAGCAGAGTGTGTGCTCTATGTAATTTTCGAAGGAAAGAAAAAAGTTTCTGAATCATGCTCAATCCTAGAAAGAAAAAAAATAATGAAGGTAAAATTCTCTTGCATTGTCTGGCATTTCCAGAAGCATTCTTTGTCTGGGAAAAAGCCTTTGTTTCAGTTGAGGAACTCAATTACATATATGTTCCTGAAAGTTGTTTTGTTTTGTTTTGGACAGGAAACATTCCTTGATTTTTACGTTTCCATCACGGCGTGATTTGAATTTCGTTTTGTTTTGTTGAATTTGGAAGTGAATAAATTATGTTTTGAATGATGCATTTATTGATTTCAACCTCTGCCCTGACAGTCAACCTGCTTTGCCTACATTTATTTGCATTTTTTGGGCAGATATTTCTCAAGTCTCATGAAGTGTCTTGAAATTTGACTGCTTCACAATTCAACCCCAGTTTGGCAATGGATTAGGGTGGAATTGCTGTGAGGTACCACCTATGTTTACAGTTTTTTAGAAGGACGCCTCATCCATTTAGTTCCCAAAAAAAAAGGCCCGTGCACATTGTATATGATGCAATGGTGAACTCTTGAACCAATAAAGAAATGCTTCGTCATTTCGGGGTTCTAATCAACAACAACAACAAAAAACGGCGGCAATAAAACGTGCCCCAGTTACAGCGACTGAATTCCTGACGGAGTGGCGCAAGATTCATTGTGGCACATGATAAATCACTCGTCAAACTTCTCGTCACTGAGATGACGTGAATGAGGGCGGAACAAACGTCGAAGGAATTTTCACCAACAGTAACTGACACTTTACTTCAATGTCTCTGCATGTGTT